GAGTCGCGCCGAGATCTTACGAGGTGGCCATGGAGGACGGCAGAAGGTTTCGACGTAACCGGCGCCACCTACTGAGGACAGGTGAGCAGTATCGGGAAGACTTTGAAAGTGAGTGTTCATCTAGCGATGAACGTGATGGATTTGACGAGCCAGGACTGGCTCGGCATGAGCACAGTGACGAACATAGAAGGCCCAGTAACAGATCATCCGAGAAGCCGCCAGCACAAGTTTCAGTTCCTCAGCAAGGCGTACTTCCTCCCCTACGCCGGTCTGCTCGGGAGACACGATCACCGGATCGACTACGCTATGATAGTAACTTGAATCAAGTAACTTAAGTTATTTGTTTTCCTGCAGGAAGATGTATCGATCGAGAAATGCTTTAATCCATGCACACGCATGCACCACCGTCAACAAAACTAATCTTAGATAAGGACCACACTTGGTTATCATGCTGCATACTATATATGCGCGTTCCTTGTTTGAATAAACGGCCTTTCGTTACTGGCTTCCACTCGTCACAGATCTAATACACATATCAGCGATAACCTGCTGTGATTCTGCAGCAGCGCAGCGTCATTTTCAGCTAAGCGGTAGCGCAGTGCTGAACTCTGTCAAGTGAAGGGTGCAAGTCAAGTCGAGGAACGTTTGCGAATACGAGGGTTAGAATAAAATTGTTCAAATCATCTCCAGTAAAAACTTTTACGTATCTCTGATACAAAGACAAGATATTTATTGTATGAGAACATTGCATAGGCACACTAAACGCATTCCCTCATCCTTGTAACAAGTTTCACTCTAGTACTAAATTGACCATGCACCACTCTCCCAATGACATTAACTTCCTTGGCACAACGTATATACTGAACAAGAAAATAATATGCTAGCTTATCTGTTATACTCGGTCATCGAAGCTAACTGAAGGCAAGGGAAGCCATTTCGCTTGATATTGATGTGTAGGGTTTAGCGTCCCAAAACCATCATATGATTATGACACACGCCGTAGTGGAGGGCTCCGGAAATTTCGACCACTTGGGGTTCTCTAACGTGCACCTAAATCCGAGCACACGGGCCTACAACATTTCCGCTAAGGGAAGCCATTTTAAATAGTTGATTGCTGCGATCGAAGTGAACCTTTGAACAGCTACACTAAAATCACTTGGAACCAGGCGTTCGGAAGTGCGGCCATGATTACGTACACCACTCTAACACGGTAACGTTAAATGTGAAAAAAAGCCCACTTTTGGTGAGCGGTACAGGTAATGTAAGTATCTGCGCATGCGCACTTCGATCACGCTAACATGGTGAGCCCGCTATCACAGTATAGCTGGTACACTATAACCGTCTATTCGTTGAAAGAAGTTACCCATGAGACACCCTAAACAAGGTCTACTACGTAACATGTAAACTACATAGGCAAACAACACTAGATAAAAAAACCATAGCACAACCCAACCAGCCACCAGCATATATAACTAAATACTCAAATGCGCTCCTGACCATTATTAATATGCTGCGTAAGTGTTATCCAATATTGTCGAGCAACGAGTGCCTTAGAAAAGCGATTCCCGAAGTACCGAAGTTCGTGTATTGCCGCAATAATCACACTAAGGACGTGTTAGTGCATGCAAGAGTAACTTCTTATTCAACATTCCAAGTAACACCTTGCTCCCGTCCACGAAACAAGATTTGAAACACCTTCAAGATGACCTGACAGTTAAAAGCAACGAGAGTAATTATGCCATCATATAAAATTTAGTTATACCTGCACTAGTACTAACGTTATCTACATTATCGAATATTCATATTGTCATAAAGAGTACACCGGCAAAACGGCACAGCCTGATAAAGTTATATTAAATGTCAACGCGGGGACACGGCAACGAAATTGCCGAAAGCAGTGGCGCAGTATTCTACCGCAGCAGGACACAACTTCGAGAATCCCAAGCTCCACACATTGAAGTCGTACTTCCGGTCCGCAAGATTAAAAAAAAAAAATTGGCAGCATATCCACGAAGTGAATGATGGAGAGAGGGGCGAAGCATTCGCCCGTCCATTCGTTCTTGCTTCTGTCCGTTCATGCGTCAGTCTGTGTGACCGTTCATGCGTCCATCCGCCCGTCCGTGCGTGCGTCTGTTCGTGCGTCCGTCCCTGCGTTCGTTCATGCGTCCATCCACGCATCTGTCTGTGTGTTCGTTCATTCATCTATTCAACACTCCAAGTACCACCATATCGCATCTTTTCATCATATATTCCTCATATAGAAGCACCGTCATCCAGCGGACATTCCAAGGACTAAACGAGAGGTGGCACACGCACACTTTCTTACGGCTTGCGCTTCGTGTCTACTTCCCGCCATTAACTACCTCGAGTTCATTCATGGTATATAATAGGTCATTGTATCTATGGCACTGTGGCTCAACGCTCGCTAAACCTTTCTAAAACTAAGGAGGTTACACCAAGCGAGCATAACGTAGCAACCCTTTCTTGTCAGATAGTGCTCAATGTATATGCCAAAGGCTGCTAATGGGGATTGCAGCGTGCGCGTTAACTAAAAGTCGAATGCTCCTGTCGCTCATTCCCCATTAGCAGCCATTGGCATGTGCATTGAGCACTATTTCTTATTTCTCAACAACGCACAGAAGAAATCTCTCGCCGGCACCACCTTGGAAGTCAAAATGTTATACATGTTACATAGTACAACGGCTACGAGGGATGAACGGGTGGCGCTATTAGAATCTTCACCCCTAAAAATATACAGAGTTGTACCTTATTCACAAGTTCAATACACTCCAGCCAGTAGGTGTAAGCGTTTCTGAAGGAGCTCTTGAATCCATTCGGTAACATACAGAAAGAAAATTACTGTGAGTTAAGCCCTTTCTCTAAGAATTTCAAACCTGCCATTGCGAACTTCTGACAACCGTGATTCAGCAAAATGTCTACATCCTCACCTCTGCACCACATTATTTTTCTTCTTTTTATGTCCTATCCTTTTTATGTCTATTCCTTTGTCAAAATGGAGGAGAGGGCACGAAAACGCTTAAGAAATCAGTTCTGTTCCAGCCTTGAAGAAGACAAGTCCGCTTGTCCAAACGTCGGCTTGACGCAACCTTTGTTTGCGGATTTTCCAGGGCTATGCCTCAGTAACTGTAGCACAGAATTTTAACCACATAAATACAGCGTGTAAGTGTGGTTGTGTACGAATATATTCGGGACGATTTGTCACCTTCAAGTGAAATACTGTACTGCTGACGAATCATCGTCATTCACTCCTTAATGATAATTCAGCGCAAAAACCAGAGTTGGTAGCAAAAGCCAGTAACACCGAAGCCACCGTTTCCCTGTTGGCAGTTTTATTCTCTAATTTACGAATATATAGGCAGAAATACACTTGCACACGGCTTAAGAAAGGAATATCTGCTGCTGAACGGAAATCTGTCTATCATGCAAACCGACTGACATTAGGAAACAAATATCACTTTTCTTCTTCCTTAAGGAAAAGCCCCTGCTACTTTGCGGGTAAGGTGACTTTAATGTCCTAATGCAATCTAAGATCTCGCGAATAGTACAGCTACGTGATCAGCTGCATTTCACTCGGTTACAAATCAAAAGCAGTGTAGTTCATCACCGTGAAAACACCCCCCTTCAACCAATGGCGTAGACAAGCCATCGTGACGTCGTGGCCAATCACCTACACGCTGCACTCATGAGGGAAATTAAAAAGCGTGTTTTTCCATGCTTGTGGAATTCATGAAATGGCTGTCTCCACTGTTCGCGACAATTCGTTGGCGTCGTGAGAGAGATAGTGCTCTTGCAAGTTGACTTTCGCACGATTCAGCCATATCATACTTCGCGTTACGCAAAAGTCTTGTTTGTTGTGGGCACTCTTCTCTCACGACAATGGCTGTGTTGTTTGTTCAGCGGTCTAGATGCTCGGCGCTCCGTTGTGACAGCTACCGATGCACGTGGTGGAATATTAGAGCCGCTCATCAGCGCATAAATAACATACATGTGTGATACGAAGTGGGCTTCATCATCCTCTACCGGTATTTTGCCTTTAGCGCAAAGTGTTGCACAGTCTGTCAGTTTGTTCCTTCTCTTCGTCTGTGTTCTGCGTTGTTTTTTTTTTGCCCTCCTCTTGTCACACCAGGGACTGCGACAGATTGCGATAACTACTTGCTTATTTCTCATTGATTACAATATCCACGAGAGGGTGCGCTTGCACTTGTTCCCACAACTAAGTCTTTTTTGTCGTGTTGCACCCTTTCTTTATATATTTTAACTATGCATCAACTAGCCAAACAGCAAGTTTTATTAGCTTATCTTTTAGGCTAGTAATTTGCTGACATTACGATTGTGCTTACCACACCGTGTTAACATGTGCTTTACGCTTAAGGCTCCTGCAATACTGGCGTTTCAGATTTATAATCACTGAAAGAGTGACCGTTTGATACGCAAAACCAAAAATAAGTGTTTTAGGAAAAACCCGGAAGTGGGTAAATTACTTGCCAGTAAAAAAATTTAAATTCACTGCTCCACTGACCAGTAAATCATTTCGTGTGTTTTATTCCAACACAAAATAGGAGAATTGAAATAAACCTTTTCAGAGAAAATTTTCCAGAGAAACTCATTAGGGATGCCGAAGCCCACGGAGGAGCTTGGGTCCAAGCGCTAATTGCAGGCGCTACGTGACCACCCGCAGCGTCACGTTGACGAAGCGTCACCATTAATACGCTGTAGGAAGGGTGGGGTCTTTTTACGACAAATTGTCGCACTGTTAATGACTTCTAACAGAGCTGTATCACCAGTGTGTTGGGAAAGGGGTAAATCCGCGAAAAATATTCAAGTTTTGTGGTACAGCTGCAGATGTAGGTGCCCAATTATTGGGCGTACGCAACGCCAAGATGCGAGCGTACACAACCAACGCAAGACGTTGCCATGTCCGAAATACTGTTCTCTGCGATACCTATAAAAGTGGTTATTGAGAAAACCTATGCACTTACCAAAACAAACACCGCCAGCGACTGCACCAAGATGCTCCAGTGTCGCCGACTGTTCACATCAAAATTTTTCGTGCACACCTGAAAATGTATAGAAGAGGCTCTTCGAAGCAGAACGCGAAAACCGTACATTTCAGGAACTGTATCCTACTTCCAGCGAATGTTCTTTCTTACGAGAGATGTTCTGTGAGGTGCGGTCAAAAAGGATCATCATAAACATGTACTACGTGAAAAACTGCCTATAAGTGAGACAAAGAAATGTTTTTTTCCTATATTATTTTTATATGAAGGATATTACACTGTACAACTTCATGAATTTAATGATCTGAAAGAGTCAGCAAGTAAGCCAGCAGTCAAATGAAGTGTTAAACACTATAAATAATGGCAATATTCAAGCAAATAATCCAAGTCCTAATACAAATACTTGTCCTCACATGGTCTCCGTGAGAAAGCCCGCAGGTCATTTTTAGCACATTTACTTAACCAATGCTATGGTCCCAATAAAGAAGGCACCCGTCCTCGGTTTTAGCGAAACGAAACCCCGGATTTCACCATGAGCTGACATTTTGGCTTAGAAGTTATTTGTGTTTGATTGATCCATTCTGCTCACACCAACATCGAAGTAAAACACATAATTGTACTGCATCTACCAGTTGCCTTACTTGACGCCATGGCAAACTTGGGAGCGTGAACGCTTTTCCCATGTTTTAGTAGAAAATAAGTATAAGAGTGTCGGCAAAGTTGCGACTTCTTCATTGAGCTGAAGAACTATATTGTGCACAAATCTTAACGTCTTTGTGTACAACAATTCAAAGCGCGAAAAGCCAATCCAAGGCGTACTCCAGCGCCGTGAACAGCGTGTTTCATTAGGTGGACACAAAGCGTGCACGCACTCGTTCCTTGAATGCAGGCGTTGAGTTGCAGTCCCAGATAGACGGTCAATGCAGCCGTCACCAGCGACATCAAGCTCACGTACTGCGAGAGAGAAACAAAAAATAGTAAACTTTATATATCTCTTTGCACTTGATTCTAAGAACTTCGTTGAAATAACTGAAACGTTATCATAACCAAAGTGCGAAAAATAAGCAGTTACGATTTTCCAGCCAACTTGTTCGCCTCAAGTTGGGCAATATTATTTATGGCGCTCTCATACATGACAATACTGAAAGGCGAGAGTGGGTATGGCGCAGCACCGGGCAAACTTGGCTTCTACCAGAAGTCCATTTCCTTTTACGTTGTAAATTTACCCCAATATTACAATCCTTTGCGCAAACCTACAATTTTTCGGAGTCTCACGCTTATTGCTACACCTACCACGTGAAACATCGCAGTTTATGGCGGCCCATAAAGGAAGGACCTTTTATACTCAAGCCAGGGGGTCTGACGCAGCAGAGTACACGCATCATGGCATACCACCACCGTACAATTTCAATGGAACGCAGCATTTCGCCTGGAGTCTCATAAGTGTTCCTTTATCGAGTTTTGAATGTTTCGTTACCACGCCTATTAAAATCGCTCAGCAGTGATCGACGCTTTCAATCGTCAATTTTTGCATGTTTAATTTGTTTTTCGTGCACACAGCACATTCTAATAGCTAGTCCTTCCACTCAACTTTCATAGTCAATTTGAATTTGTTCATTTTGTTACACATATCGATTTTTGACAGGCCTTTGCGCCAATCAGTGTGCGTGTACTGTGGGGAAAATGCACTTGACCGGCGAAATTCATAGTGCATATGGTCCGTGCCCCTCGTGGTCATGTTGCAGTAACATCAAAATTCTGTATACAAAAGACACTTTGCAAGTTAAAAATTGAAATAAGGTGCCAACTTCGCAATCTGACAGCGTTGAGAAGTAATATTTCCCAGACATTTATGCCAGCTAATAAATGGTGAGTTGTTGCTAGGAGTAAGAAAAAGTTTATTCAACAAAAAATACTTCCGAAGGTGCGCCGCACAAATACAATGTGGAGGTGGCCTGCTCAAGCAGTTTCGAGCAGCGTTGATTTCGCTTGTATCATTATATCAGACACAGGGCCACAATTGGTGTCCTTAGTCACTCCTGTGGCGTCGTAGTCACTCGCGCATCAGTGCGCCCCGGCGCGGCTAAAAACAAGCGCCGCTCAAAACTGTCTACGAATCGCACCTGAATTGAGCAAGGACGAGGTTAGAGTCCGAGGATGAGGGCACCTCAGCTTTGTGGCGACAATGTTTTGCGTCCGCCAGAGACATCCGAAGCCGTCCATGGGTTTCTTTTGATTGCGCCGTCAAGTTGTCTCCTCCGCTGCAAGTGTGTAGCTGCTGACCTTTATGCAAAATTGTACAGCTACTCTGGTTACGTGCGAGGTTGACACGTCGCTGGGGCGTAGTGTGATGGCGCTGGTGGCAGAGATTTTCCTCACAACAAGAAAACGACTGGAGCACATCCTGCGGCCCGCGATGGGCCAAACGTTTTAAAACTGCGACCAATATAGTTTTGTCTCTTTTTGTTTTTTGCGAAGCGCAAAAACGCAATGAAATGTGCTTAGTTGTGTGTACCGGAACCCAAACTATTTAGTGAAACGGCTCATGCGGAGAAGTGACGCTAGACGAAATAGCGAAGCTCACTGTAATCTGATTTATAGAAGCATTATTAACATAATGGCCATAAATGCTATAACAGAATTGCTGCAGGCTCTTATCGCAATAAGAAACAGAAATCCAAGCAACGCCTTGCTGCATGGCACGAGCAACGAAGTGGCACCTTGGTTTCCATTTTCTTTGTCTATGTGAAAGGAAACTTGTTATACGATATTTAGTATTTTTTACTGTTCCTGGGCCATTTATTCTGAAATTGAATATTCGGAATTTTCTTTGTTTTGAATGTTCTAGCATAAGTAGTGTATTTTATTGCACGGTTTCTTTGCTGGCTTCCAAAAATACACACTTTTCCTGTTTTTATTCATTCCAAGATATTTTTTATTGCCCTACAACATACATTTTTTGCGAGACCATATCAATGTGCGAAAACTGACATGCTGCAATGCGTGCTGCAGTGCTTTTCAGGCTGGCCAACACTATCTTCTAAGACATATAAAAATAGCCATCTTCACACGGTAACCAAATAGTTAAAAGAAAAAAAGTGGCTGCACATCAAGTATTTGAACCTCTACTGCACCGTTACTGCTGCTGCTCTGCATCTGAGCTCGATATCTACAACACAACTGTTACTTTCCTTGTTTACACTGTGCAATATATGATTGTATACAAATGTGAATATAAAATGTTATCGTACGTTTTCCCACGTGAACCAATAAATTACTCCAAATAGGAGTTTCAGCTGAGATCAATATATATCCCGTATGAAACACACATTCTCCACAAGATTCTTTGTTGCTGAATTCGTCTTAATGTCTAGCGTGTCTAACCAACACATGCGTCTCCCGTGGTGCATGCCTGATTATTCCTAAATGCATGTCAGCTTCCTTTTGTATGAATATGTACCAATAGATGTAGTGGGAATCAGTTTCTGGAATGTCCTCTGCCGCGAATTCCCGGAGAATACCTTATTGCGACGCTTAACAAAGAACGGCCTGCTCAATCGTTTCCGGCTTTTCGCACATTACACAATATGCTTTTCAGGGCTTGAATATTATTTTTTAAACCGCTTTGTGTTTATCTTAGATAAGGAAGACCTGATATTGTGCTCGGTGATGCAAGTTTAACTAGTCAGGGCGCTGTCAGACAATGTTTTATTTCGTGAGAGGATGCATGAGAAAGAGACAGTGTTTACACAACAAGATAATAGATTAATTCGATCTTACACGTCATCTCAGCATAAAACTAGTTTTAAGTACTCGTTTACAAAGACTCTGAAACACCTTTATGGATAGTTAACCAGTGACTTCAATATCAGAGTTTATTTCATCACGAATGATAATTCTTGAAGGACAAACGCATGCTTTCAGCTCTTTCTCTCCAAGTTCATAACAATAAGAGCACTGAAAGCTCACAAGAGAGAAGCTGGCGACAATGACGTGGGGCTACACCAGCATATCACGACCTCGAGCTCTCTTTCCTTGTTTTTAAACGCATGGCTGTCTGTGAGTGTGATCACAATGTTGCTTGTGCAGATCACAGTGAGCGCAGACACCGCGCGATAGACCGCTGCGGTTGCTTTAACTATGCGGCCCACAATGCTCACGTTACGCAATGGCCGTGCCCATGGGCTATTGCGTATGTGGCACAGTTGATTTCAGGCATATAGCCTTATTTGTGGAAGGAACGGTGAGTAGTTCCTTGCTGAACTTGGAAGTTATTCGTATATTCCAAGCCAAATGCTGGGCTATATAGTTTTGATGACACGTTCATCGAAGTATCGACTACCAATCGGCAGCATATTTCTATGTTTAAAATGTTGCCGGTCCCTTTAAATTAGGTTGGGGAATAAAACTGGCTCATCCCACGCCATCTGCTTAGAAAATACCTGCACCAGCAGTAGGGAAGTAAATGTAGCTGGAAGGAGGAAAATACCCACAGCATTTTCTCGTTCAAAAGGTGTTGGAAGGCCCCTTCAAGACAAGTTTGTTCATTCTAGCACAGCTGCTGAGAAAGTACATCCGCATGTGTGACCACTTCCTTGTGAAGCACACGATAAAATTCTCGCACCACGAACGGAAACGCTGTAGAATGGCATGTGATGAACAAGCTATCTTTTCCCAACTGATCAGGAGCTATGCGGCTACTTTATTATGGCATGTACAGGTCACCGTTTCGACTTGAACTGGTCACAAGTAGTGTCACATGTAGTGTCAGACTTTAACACGATTGCGTTACAAAAGTTGTTTCGCATAAATTCCAACGTCAGTGCCCGGGTTGTTGGTTCTGAGCGAAAAATCATCGTCTTGTGCGTGACTTTTAAATAGAAAAAGATGAAAATAAAATAAATAATAAAAAGCTCTAGGTCTGAGTTACGATCAAACCCAGGTCGTCTGCAAGGCAAGCAGGTGTTTTAGCACATCACCACGCTTCTGCTTGTGAATACAATGAAAATACCTCTGTTAGAAAATGCAGTGAAGGTAGCTTTCATGCTTTACAAATACAGGTGTCTTATATGCATGCGTCACAATACAACATGAAATATTACAGCAATTCTGATGCGTCGTACGAGCGTACATTACCCTCAGGCGTCAGAGCATGTTGCCTGGTTGGTGGGTTGTTCCTCAGAGTCATGGCGCAATCCGCCACGGCGGATAGGCCATGAAACAGACGGTACCAAATCTTTGAGATGTAATTGTTTTACCAGCCGGGATGTTTAGATATGACTGTTTTAGCAAAGAACAGATTGATAAACGGTGGATTAGATATAAAATAAAAAAGGTAATGAAAATGAAAACCCAATAGGCTAATATCGCTGCAAATGGCTCATGGTTTTATAAGCTAATAAAACTGCACTTCTTTCATTGCACAGACGCCAGAACTTTGCCACTGCTAACTATATTATTAATGGCTGCACAGTGTCTTCTTTCTGCTGTATTAAATATCTCGGCGTTAACATTTCACAGAATCTAAACTGGTCTTGTCATGTAAGTAAAATTGCTAACAATTCTAACAAGGCTCTTGGTTACTTTCATCTTAACATACATCTTGCCCCTCCTCCAGTCAAATTACTAGCCTACAAAACCCTAATTCGCCCAAAACTATAATTCACATCCACCATATGGGACCCACCACAAAGTAACCTAAGTAAATCTATCGAACTATTTCATAACCACGCCGTTAGATTCATCTATTCAGACTACTTATATCACACCTGTGTTACTACCCTTAAAAGTAAGGCAGGTTTACCTAACCATGACCTACAGCATAAGATTTCTAGACTGTCCTTGTACCACAAAATGTATCATGTGTTTCATTATAACTCCCCCATTCAACCAGCCCATCAGGTTTCAGCCCGCACAAGTCACCGCAAGGCTGTCTAATCCCCTCCTACTTGCACCACAGCCCACCATCATTTGTTTTTCCCTCAGGCAGCCAGGGACCGGAACAATCTTCCCTCAAGTGCCATCGACCATTCTAACACAGATACATTTAGGAAGTGCCTTAGAATCATTGTTTCAGTAACTGTATATTTTTTGCTTACTCCCTCATGTAAAGCCCTCTGTTGAAACCCTTTGAGGTATATCAATAAAAAAATAAAGAAATATATACGGTGAATTTCTGCCTCAGCTTAACATTCTATTCGTTGTTCTCTTATGAAAATCGCACACGGCTTAGCAAACGTTCTTCTGGCCAAATGGCCTTTTCAATTTCTCCAAAGGAAAGACCACCGGAGGGATATATTTAAAGTCAACCTACGAAGAGGTTCTTCTAACAGTCGTTCTTTTTTTGTTTTGTAAATAAGCTGCATGATAAGAAAAAATGATGCAGAGATTTACTCTCATTGCAGTCGAGGCATAGGTGAGACTGTGCCAGACCATACCTGTGTAGATAAAAATTTAAGGGGAGGGGGGGGGGACTCGGCATTGTAGTCTCATAATTGATATCTCCGCCATTCTAGGGGAGCACCATCGATTTTTGCAGGGGCACCTAATATGAATAAAATCACAATTTGCCAAGCTAGATTTTTGGAAATTATGTGATATGGCAATTTTTTAAGGCGTGCCGGGGCGATAAATTCTAGGGTCGGCAATATGAAAATCATGGGACAATTATGTGAGACTACTGCGAATGCATCTACATATTCATTGAGGGTTAAACATTTGTGCCCTTGTATCCTCACAAAGTGAATCACTCGTAAATGTCTTCGGGCAAGGGCGTAAAACATTTCTAAAGCATTGGACATATTAGGCGCCGTAATGAAGTACTCACAGACAGGCACTGTGTAAGAATTATACCAGCTTAAGATGCAATTCCCGCTCCTGCCTTTTCTTCACAAACTGAAGAATTAGTTGCTAATAACAATCCTTATTTCTAATCTTGCCAGATGGTTTCTCGAAATGGCATTTAGGTACCTACTGGGAAGATTTTCCAATTAATTTTAAATATATTGTCAAATTCTATTTTCGTTTTACGAATAGACATTCTTAGTACCAGTACTTCGCAAAAGTTTTCCTGTGATGTTTCTAGGAGCTTCTGTTCAGCGATGACTTGTGGGTGCCTTAATCTAGAGCACTGTATGTTAAAGAAAACGTCGGCACATTAGTGAAAACATACTGCGACCTCCTCAGTGGGGATGCATATATCTTTAGGCAGGTACGAACTGTTAGTGTTTGTAACCTTGCACGAAGAGTTGGAACCTTGCACAAAAAGTGGGAACTTAAGCGTGTGATTTTCATAATGACTTGTTGGATTAAGCTGGTCACCCATTACAAAAGGCACACACGTCACTTCGCCTGTTTTCTTAAAAAATACAGAACAAAAATAGGAAACACTGACTAAATTTTGAAATTAAAGTCCAAAGATGTCACTGTTCCAATAAACGAAGTTAATTTTCCGTATTTTTGATTGTCAGCGCGGGGCGGTTGCTCGCGAGCGCGAGCCGTGATGTCGCACTCACCAAGTTACACGCAGGATGCATGTGTTTTGCCCTCCTCTTCCTTTTATTCACCCCTCCTTTCATCCACTCTTTCCCTTCCACAAAAGCGCTGCTTCTTTGCCCCAGTTGGAAGCATTGTTCGCTGCTGTTGCTGTTCGTACTAGTTTTGGGAACTGAAGCGGGTGTTGAGCGAGTCGAGGTACGCGGGCGACGGTGGGCATTGTTGACTGGCCCGTTTAGGGTGTGTGACGTCACCAAACGTCACTTTCTCTAGTTCACGGCGCGGCCACTAGACGCTGCAATTTGTGAAAAACGCAATGATTTTATTGTTTTCTTGTAGTTTTAAACTGAAATTAAAATTGTCTTCATCTATATCGGTGCTCAGTTTTTAAAACTTTTCTGAACATCTTGGCGGCAAGAACTTTTTCCAGTATCCCTTCAAGACCCCTCAGAGCCTGCCTATCATGTTGGAAAATGATTTTATGCACTAAGTGTTTAAAGTACGCGCTCAATACAAGATATCGCTACTGCGTTCAACTCACAAAGTTGAGACTTATGAATCTGCCAATTTTTAATGGTAAATGCAGCGTACACTTTGTTTTCTGTAGGGTGATTTTGTTCTTCTTGAGATTCCCTAGTTTGATAATTAACAGCTCGCTAGACAATCCGTGGCGCGTTGGAGTGAAGATAATAAGATGTTTTGAGGTTTTGCATTACCATCAAAAATACTTACCCCCACCATCCATGCATAGCGCTCTCCGCAGGAGCCGTCCACAACCCAGCATGGAAATTAGCAGAAGCATGCCACCAGAAACGACGTAGAAGCCGGCTATCTCTGCTGGCGGTCGGCCGCTGTCGTCATCCAGTAAGACACGAGAGATCTCCCACTCGGGACGGAGTAGTGCCACCAGGCCACCAGAAAGCAGCGCTGCACCCACCGTCTGCGTAGAAAAAAAATACCTCATCGAGCTCAAGACATCGGTATTATACCTGCCGTAACGCAAAAGCTGTTGACTTGAACGATCAGGTTAAGTGCCACGTGTTGGTACAGTTATGACTGGCAATGCATAGATGCGGCCTGCAAGAGACCCTCATCGGCGTACGTCGAGTTTACCAAGGAGTTTAGAATGTAATACTGTGTCGAAGGCCTTTGCGACGTTTATGAAGACAGCGTCAACCCGGTTGCCATAATCAAGGCTAATAAAATTATTATGCATGCATTTGACTGATTGGGTTGGGCTAAAACCGCGTCTATATCCACGCTGCCTGTTAGTAATTAATTGGTTTGAATTGCAAGAAGAGCGTAACGTGTTTATGAGTTATATGTTATAACATATTGCGTGACTGAGAACTCAATCATATCGGACTATGATTTAATGAAGACTGCTTATAGCCAAGTTAAAAGAGAGGGAAACCCTTAGCCATCTTCCGTGATGAGGGAACAGTGCCAGAAGAAAAATATTTATTGAATTTCCATCCGTCCATCCGTCCATCCGTCCGTCCTTCCGTCCATCCATCCATCCATCCGTCCATCCGTCCGTCCGTCCGTCCGTCCGTCCATCCGTCCGTCCGTCCATCCATCCATCCGTCCATCCGTCCGTCCGTCCATCCATCCGTCCATCCGTCCGTCCGTCCGTCCATCCATCCGTCTGTCCGTCCATCCATCCATCCGTCCATCCGTCCGTCCGTCCGTCCATCCATCCATCCATCCATCCATCCGTCCGTCCATCCGTCCGTCCGTCCATCCATCCGTCCGTCCATCCGTCCGTCCGTCCATCCATCCGTCCATCCATCCATCCGTCCATCCGTCCGTCCGTCCGTCCGTCCGTCCATCCATCCGTCCGTCCGTCCGTCCGTCCATCCATCCGTCCATCCGTCCATCCGTCCGTCCGTCCGCCCGTCCGTCCGTCCAAAAGATGCAAGATGTTATAAACTAGACGGCGGTACGTGTAGTTGATTATGAAAGATGCGATGGACCACAAATAGTAGAGAAATCAGAATGGCTTACGTATCCCGTCTGTGCCGATGTGATATTTTACATTGAATATTAAGGTAAGACTGAGGATGCCTTCATTCATTATTTTTGTATGACTGATTGGTTCAGAAGGAGGAATGCCTGTCAGAGAAAAAAACGGTGTTGTCAGATATAAACGCAGACTGGAAATGGTTATTGAAAGCTTTAGATATAGATGGGGTCAGTAATGACGTCATCATCTATTTTGAAAGAAGGCGAGACAGCATAAGGCAACATCACACACCAAAATTTGCATGGATTTATCCTTAAATTATTCGGCAACCCAACGCGGTAAAAGAAATCTTTTGTTGTTGTTTTTTTGTTGAGTAGAGTTCACACGTAGCCTTCGGAAACTGGTCTATGGCAATGAGATTGTTAGATCTTGGGAAGTGCCTAATTCGACCGACACGACGAGATAACTAGTAAAAGTTCACGTGTCATCCAAGGAAGGTTATCATTGCTTTCTCTTTGTCCTCATCGGCACTAATCTTCGGATACACTGACTTCACAAGATCGTCAAATTAATTAACAACACAAGTTACATCTGACTGTCAGAAAGCACACAAAACGTATCAAAGTGAGCAGCCAAAATATCAGTTAAGGAAGTGTCGTCTTCACGAGTGCAATCAGGGAAGCTGGTGAATGTATACGGCGATTTGCACATGGGATGGCAATGTGTTAACGAGACACCTTTATGACATGATCATCCGTTTAACTCTATCGCAAGAGACACTTGCTCTCAGCTAGATATGTACTAGTAAAAACTGAGTGTAGGATATAAGTGAGTCTAGGTGGACATTAGTTGACTTGAGTGTGCCCAAAAATAGATAAATAATTGATTACATGTCGCAGCATCAAGACCCGTTGCAGACGGAGAAGGCCAATGGATGTCAGAAGCGTTAAAATGGCGCATACAGAATAATCGTGACGAAGCAATATTTACATCACACAAGAAATAGGCAAGAACATGAAGAACTTCAGTTAATGATCCGGGTGAGCGATATACAACGCTAACTACAGAACACAGATTTTACGTCGACCTTACAACAGAGCGGTTCTGTTTCAGGAGGCGAGGGTAGCACTGAGAAACGGAGCGAGTAAGCAGTGCAATGTCACCCCCAATGCCTTCCGCCCTGTCCCTACGTACGGGAACAAAATTGGGTGGAGTAAACAAAAAGTCATAAATATTACGATAAACCCATGACTCTGTGATGCCAATGAGTTGGCCAATGAGTTGTGATGCCAATGAGAAAAATGAGTTGCGACAAGCGACAATGGATCTGGAAGCTTTCAGCAATAATACGAGCATTCACATTCAGGCCTACCAGGTCCTCATGCCAGCTGTATTGAGGTCATGTAGCAGATAGGGTAGGATTCGAAGATGCGGGTATAGAGAAACGAGAGCCAAGTGCTCGATTTGAAATGTTCACCAATGAGTTTGAGGTGTTGTCCTATTTATAAGGTACATTGTCAATGCAACAGAGGATCGTATCTTAACTTCATCGCACAGCCACCTTTGCGGAAGAAAACTGAAGCCTCCCAAATTCCTTTTGTAAAAGGTATAATACTGTGAAAAAAAAGTATTCTGAAATAAATATGTTAGAGCCTTTCAGTTTAAGTGCATTTTTCAGAACAACGGCTTTTTTCCCCGAGGAACAAAGCGTTATAATTAAGGTCGTGTATAGGCCAGTGTGTACTTTTCCAGGCCTGTGGACGCGTTCGATTTGTGGATACGTAACTTTTCAATATACTGTTAAACACAGAAGTTACGCTGCATAACAGAACGCTGGCGTTATCACATTGAAGTTCTCTAAAATACCCTGTGTAATCAGAATATTTCTCCTTTCACAGTTTTGCTTACCGTGGCCTAGATTTCTTCGCAATAAATTGAGGGGAAGTATAGTGTTGAGAATTAATAACCGTCGCACAACAATCATGATCAACTACAGATCTGGCTTTTTTACTTAAAAAGCCAGTAAGGTATGTGTATTTTTTCCAATATTTAATTACTTCTTTCGTACCTAATCATCGAAGCACCTTTCTGCTAAAACTGAATAGGTATGTGTAGAGAGGAAAACACAATAAAAATTGCCCATTGCATACACGGTTCCAAAGAGTAAAAACCAGGGACGCGAAGCAGTGTTTCAAAATTACAAAAAGTTATGAGCGATGCAGAATTATTAAGCCTACATGATAAATAGACTAGGTGATAACGCATAGGCGTTCCAGCAGGACCACTGTACTCTACAAGATAGGTAGTTTGCTTGATGAAGTGTTGTGCTTTATGGTGCAAGAGCCAATTGAACACGAAAAAGCGTCATTCGAGTGGAGAGGAGATTTCAACAATGATATGGTATGTGGCTGTATAGGCGCCTTAAAATTGCTCGCGATAACTCGGGTAAAAAACATAAAAGCAGTAAAATCATGACAGTGCCGTGAAAGATGTGGTGTGAGCATGAATGACGAAAAGTTGTGATAATAAAACCATGTTGAGGATGTAACCGCCACCACCATGACCTCGGCACACAGATCGTGCTACGTATCAACTCGGTATATGTTTGAAAGCTATGTGCGTCATATAAAAACGTACAAAGGGATTAAAGTTTAAAAAGCTGATTCGTACCGATGAGCATGACAGGATGGAGTAGATGCTGGTAAGTGTGGCTTTTGTGCGGCGTGATCTCGATACTTGCGTCCAATTCCGTAGATGTGGTTTCATAACATCAAGTTTATTCTGTGTTTGTCGGTCCCATAATTGCTGCCAATGATCCCTTAGTTTTCATTTTAGATAGGGTTTCAGGTCAGGTGCAGGGACTACTATGACTGTATTGGCAGCACTTTCGTGGGCGAATGCAGCTAGCTGGTCCACCAACGTGTTTTCTTGAATCACACGGTGCCCGGGCATCTAGAAAACTACGACATGCTGCTTCTGTGCATAGACCGTTCATAATGGTGAGTAGACTTGTATAAGGGCAGAGCTCTTGTGGCTTCTCTTGTTTTCAAGTCTCTTACTACACTCACGAAATCAGTGCTGATAACTGCCTTCTGTAGTTTGAGTTGTTTATTAAGAACTTTCATTTGTATAACACATGTACTTATTATGTGCAGTATCATGTGACACCCATCATGTGTGTTTAGTGAAGTGAATGACGTGTAGACTATTATGCACACACGAGCGAATACATCTTCATAAGAACCATACGTGTACTCTTCTGTTTTGTGCTGGTTGGACCGTGTCTTTATGAGGGACACTATCAGAGACTTCACTCGTTGATTTTCGAATAGTTCCTTATTATTTTGTTGTGACATGTGCGTATAGGTGTATCTTTGCATATCTTCACCCGACTGTTCTATTTTTCATGCACTGTTTTGTTTGTATTGCTTCAAGATACGTGTTCAAGCTTCACTCAAGGGCTAAAGAGTAGCCGACGCCATAATTGTGTGTCAACATCTCCTTATATATCATATCAATAAAAGAAAGTTTAGTGGCCGCAACTATTGTATAGTCTTCTGCTATGAAGATACTTGTATTTGTGTGGTACGCCGACAACCTAAATAGGTGGGCCGATGGCGACTTATGCATTCCAAGTAAGGAAGTACGTATAAATATGTGCAAGAGGAGTGTTTTGATACTTCTACGAGTGACATCTAAGTCTATAGGCAACCACTGCGACGGTGTAAGATTTCCAGCAGGTGGCCCCAGCAGTGTTCTAGAATAGGCACACCCACTTCTTCGGCTAGGCCTCTCACATGAAGTGCGAAGGCTCCCGTTTCGAAGGACAGGTATGAAAAATGATCATCATGTCATCATCATCATCAGCCTGACTACGTTCCCTGCAGAACAAAGGCATCTCCTATGTTCCGCTAGTCAACTCAATCCTGTGCTTGCTGCTGCCACTTTCTAACCGTAAAATTCCTAATGTCTTA